ATATATACCCCACAGCGGCTCTTCCCCATCAGTGTGGTGAGGGACCTGATCCGACGGCTGGCATTGACGCCAGTGTCAACGGACAGTTGGCGTCTTGTTTGTGAAATCCAGATTTTGTGTTGAAACCCACTACATATAAAGTATTTTGGATGGTGTCTTAGGACAAATTAGATATTATTTTGTATAGACATTGTTAAAATATTGATTTTTTCGCTTGGTGAGAGAGCCCCCAAGCTGGTTGTGGGTGAACAAGAACTAATATACAACTCATAAGAGGTTCCTTAGACCAGTGGTTCTCAACCTTGGGCCTCCAGATGTTCTTGGACTATAATTCCCAGAAGCCTTCAACACCACCTCTGCTGGCCAGGATTTCTGGGAGTTGAAGTCCAAGAACATCTGCAGGCCCAAGGTTGAGGACCACTGCCTTAGACAACAGTGATGGCTTTTGTTGTTGTTTAGTTGTTAAGTCGTGTCCAACTCTTCGTGACCCCATGGACCAGAGCACGCCAGGCCCTCCTATCTTCCACTGCCTCCCGGAGTTGCGTCAAATTCATGTTTGTCGCTTCGGTGACCCTGTCCAGCCATTTCGTCCTCTTTCATCCCCTTCTCCTCTTCCCTTCACACCTTCCCAACATCAAGGTTTTTTCCAAGGAGTCTTCTCTTCTCATGAGATGGCCAAAGTACTGGAGCCTCAGCTTCAGGATCTGTCCTTCCAGTGAGTACTCAGGGTTGATTTCCTTTAGAACGGATAGGTTTGTTCTCCTTGCAGTCCAGGGGACTCTCAAGAGTCTCCTCCAGCAGCACAATTTAAAAGCGTCAGTTCTTCAGCAGTCAGCCGCCTAGAATGGTCTTAATCAACAAGATAGGCGGGATATAAACAGAATAAATAAATAAATAATATAAATTTATGGCCCAGCTCTCACTTCCATATATTGCTACTGGGAAAACCATAGCTTTGACTATTTAGACTTTTGTTGGCAAGGTGATGTCTCTGCCTTTTAAGATGCTGACCAGGTTTGTCATCGTTTTCCTCCCAAGAAGCAGGCATCTTTTATTTTCGTGGCTGCTGTCACCATCTGCAGTGATCATGGAGCCCAAGAAAGTAAATTCTGTCACTGCCTCCGTATCTTCACCTTCTGTTTGCCAGGAGGTGACGGGACCAGTGGCCATGATCTTAGCTTTTGGCTTCGGAAGGTCTAAAGACCGAGATGAGGCTGATGCTGAAAAAGGACCACTAGCTCAGCTTTACGTCAACATTCCCAAGCCTGGCGCCCTCCAAATGTCCTCCAGTACAACTCCCATTGTCTCCTGGACAGGGTGGCTCTTGACCATGCTCTCTGGGGGTGATGGGAGTTGTAGCCCAACGCGTCGGAAGGATAAGTGGCTGGGAAAGCTGCTTGAGACACAGGGCTGGCACAGTGAGGTAGACACAGATTTTGTGTTAATGATCAGCCTCTATATAGAGATAAATAAACAAATCATGATTCATTAAAAAATAGATCTTTGTCATGAGTTCCCAGTAATGACTTCATTCCAAGGAAATAAAATGGTGTGAGCCATTGGAAAAAAGAACGTAAGAAGGGCTATGAATACTTGACAGGGTATATAGCCCTCCAGAATTGTGGCAGCCATATCTGCACCTTGTGGCAGTGAGTTCCACAGTTTAATTCTGCACTGTGTGAAGAAGTTATTCTATCAATCCTGCATCTTCCCCCATCTTTATAGTGGACTAATCACTTAAATTGGCTTTTCCTTTAAAATTTGAAACTGTTAATTATTTTCACTACGGAGCCCTGAGGGAAAAGCTATTCTTGTCTCTAGGTGGTACCTACATATGTGTCATCAAAGAAGGCCAGCTTTTTGCAGAAAATTATAATTTCACTCACATGCAAATTCATACCGACTTAGAGCAGTTTTTATTAAAACTTAGAGGTAAATCCCATCTGTGTCAACAGAACCTGTTTCAAACAATGTGAGCATAAGATTCTTGTCTTGATCGATATATGAATTCATGATTTGACTACATTTCTCCAATTATTGGACTGCTGTACTGGTGGCAGACCTTTTTACTTACGAATTAAATCAATCATTCAAATGAATTGGGTTACTATTTGGTTAACGTAGTCTAAGGCTGGGCACCAGCATTTTCATAATGGAGAGCATAAATAAACCCTTAATTTTGCTCGCACAGAAGTGATTTTATGGGGAAGCTTTACCCGTTGGATTTCTGCCTGCTGTGCAGCTGTTGGCAGAGAGCTGGCCTTGGCATGAAGAGCGGCAAGGCAAAGCAGGTGTTTCCAGGACAGAAAATAGGGAACTTTTGACTTTTCAGGTTTTTAATACTACCAACCCCATCGTCCCTCACCTAGTGGCTGTTTGGGCTGGGGCTGATGAGAGTCGTAGTCCATCAAGTGAAGGCTGCACGAGAGTTTCTCGATGTAGGGGAAATGTGTGTGTGGGAGGGCAGGCAACTCTGTTCTGATTTTGCAGCCTAAGAAACCAAAATATTTCAAGCTATCTTTGGTGAAAGGCCAACAGAACCCCCACCCCTAAGGCAAAATAAATTCAAATCAAGCCAATAAGATGTTGAATTAATCATCCGATCCAGGGCCCAGAGGACAATCTACCCCACTATAATGACTCAGAAGGGCTTAGGGAGTTCATCTCCTTCCCGGCATCTAGCTTGGCTCCATTGCATGAGTCATCTGTCGTTTTTACTCTGGACCGCCTGAGAGGGTTGGCGGGGGCGACCACATTGAGCATCTCAGTCCAGCCTACTTTCACTGGCCCCGATTCTGGACGGAGTTTTTAGGCAGGGGGGAAGAAATCTCCAAGCTGGGACCTTGATGAGGTCTCCCACATCCGCGAGGACAACCTAGCCGCACAAAGTTAGGGAAAACTTTCTTTTTCTCCAGTGGAAGGTGATTCGCCCTCCCTCAGCTGTCAGGACCGATCTGCTTCTTCTGCCACACTTGTCACCTCGAATACTTCGCCCCAGTTCCCAGCGCCCTGTCTCTCCGCTCGCACCAGGCAGAGGAGACCCGTGGCCTCAGTTTACCCTGCGGCGCTGCGAGCCGAAGCAACTCTATACCGTTTAATCCATAACCACCCTCCCCGCTTGGCTGGAACCCAAAAATGATCCAGAGCAAGAAAGGAATTGATTGTTTTCTGTCTGCGTGTAGCTGGCAGATGACCCCGAGAGTCTCCCAAATGGGCTTTGGAGTTTTGAGTTTGGTCTGCAGGACTGAGCTGGACCAAAAAGAGAGAGAGAGAGAGAGAGACTTCTCTTGAACATGCACAGAGTGCCGGTCTAAGAAACCTAACTTCCACGGACTCCTTGAACTCTGCACTTCTTCTTTTAGAAGCAGAACAGCGCTTTCTCAAAGACTCAGCAAAACCCCAGAATCTTTGGTGAGCTTAGAAAAGTTCCTTTGGAGGACTACAGATCCCAGTATCCTGCAGTGAGAACCATGCTAGCTATTTGGAGACCTGTGGGCCAGAAAAGTAACTTTTTGAATCCTATTTTTAATACTATATTTACTGTGTTTCCCCAAAAATAAGACAGCGTTATATATTACCGTATTTTTCGCTCCATAAGATGCATCAATTTTTTAGGAGAAGAAAACAGGAAAATATAATCTGTTTTCTTCACTCCATAAGACGCATAGACTTTCCACCCCCGTTTTGTGGGGAAAAAGTGTGTCTTATGGTGCGAAAAATACGGTAATTTTTGCTCCAAAAAACACATTAGGGCTTATTTTCAGGGGATGCTTTATTTTTTTCATGTACAGTACAATCTATGTTTATTCAAATACAATCCTGTATTCTTCTGGTTGCTGCACAAGGGGGCGGGGATTCACTTAACTGGGGCTTATTTTTGCTGTAGGGCTTATATGACGAGCATCCTGAAAAATCATACTAGGGTTTATTTTCAGGCTAGGTCTTATTTTCAGGGAAATGGTGTATATACTCATCCCCAGATTTATGGGGCTCAGAATTGGATATAAAACTCCATATATATAGGCATGGTTTAACGTGAATCCTGTCCTCATAACAACCCTCCGAGGTAGACTGCCTTATGAGAAAGTCACTGGCCAGGGTTTAATGACTAAAGATCTAAGGTTTGGGGGATTTTAAACTCAGAGGGTGTAACGTCTCCGTCATCCCCAATCCCTCTGGATCTCTGTCATCTTTTTTTCATCTTTTCCCAAGAAAGAGAGGTTGAAGCGTAATGTTTTCCACGAACGGAAAAGCTGGCAGAACCTTTAGAATCCGGCTTTCACCTTTTCATTTGAAGAGACACCTTTTTAAGTTTTGCATCCGTAGCGCTGAGCTTTTGCATTAAATGCTTCCTAAAATGCAACACAGTCCATAAAAGAAAACAGAAAACTCTAAATAAAAAGCGTGTTCTTTCCTTTTACTTTTGCAAGGCAGGGAAAAGCAAGTATGAATGAATTTATTTATTTATTACGGACGTGTGACCAGCTCATAAAACATATTTATGGTTAAAACATATCAAGTGCAGTTTAAAAATGTACAACCATTTCATAAGACATATTATGTGGCTAAAATATACAAAATGCAGTTTAAAAAATGTAAAATCAGTTCATAAAACATATTATGTGGTTAAAAATACACAAAATGCAATTAAAAAAGGTGTACAGCCAGTTCATAAAACATATTATATGGTTAAAATATAAATATTTCCTCCCTTCGGCTGGGGCCACAACATTTCTCTACGCTTGACGGAAAAGCAAGTACGTTTCATTTAAGTGCTACTGAGATTATGCTGGGGTGTGTATAGCAGAGGCACTCTGTACATGTGCAGGGGTACCCTCGATTTAATCCTTATTTGCTTTGGGAATTAGAAGATTAAGCTCAAATTCCAGGTGGCTGGAACCTTTCTTGATCCAAAGCTTACAGCAGACTAGGTAAACAGAATATATCTGGTGGATATCCTTCCTGTCTTCCTTTTTTACCCTTACAACCCTTCTTCACAGATAGCATCCGGAAAGTTTTGAACCGGCCTCCCATCCATCTCCTGGTGAGGGTGAAGCTAGAAACCAAACCGAAAAAGAATGAAGATCGGGTGCTGGTAAGAAGTTTCTTGGGCGTGGGGCCAGGTGGGGCAGGAATATCTGGAGGCAGTGATGCAGAGATTGGAGAGGTGGAGTTTTGGGAATACAAATCCCAGTTTCCCCCCCTCTACTGGCTGGCATAGGATTTACAACCACCCCTGGAATCCACCAGCCAGCCTGGTAACTGGCCATCTGAAATGGGGAGAGTCTGGGATGTGTGAGCATGCTCGAAAGGGGATTCTGGGAGTTGTAAGCATTTTGGGTGGGGGATTCTGGGATATGTAGTCACTTTTTTCCCATCAAAGCCACTTCTCCATGCGGGTGATCTTGATTTTGTTGTCCTCAACCACCAAGAGGGAGACACATGAAAACACACACACTAACACACCTCCTCCAAAATGGGAACCCCCCTCCAACCAAGCATCTCGGGGGGGGGGCTTTCCGCCGGTTCCCCCTTCTCTTTGCTCCCCCAGCACAAGCTGATAGGAGGTAGCATTATTATTGTTAGTAGATTTATTTATTTATTCATTTATTCGATTTATATCCCGCCCATCTGGTATATTCTACCACATCATGATGTAAATAACTCAAAAAAGTGAGTGAGTGTGTGAGAGAGAGAGAGATTATTATAAATACGATAATACAATCGCTGCTCGATTACAGATAAGCAAAAAAATGCAAGAAGAAGAACTGGATTTTTCAGCCCCATGAGTGGCATAATGAAAATCTGGAATACAGTGATTGATGAGAAACTGACATCCAAAATTATGTTTTAAAAAAGGTGTGATCAAGATTAATAAATTTAATGAGATGTGGGATGACTTTTATAAATGCCATCTCGAATAAAGGAAAAGGGCAAAAATATAGGTATTTCTGGAAGGGATGAGGGATCTTTTAAAAGTGGAATGAAACATGGTTGTAAATAAATAAATACGTATGTATTGTGTTAATAGATAGTCCCTGGCCTGAGGGGATGCTCTATTGCTTTGCTTTGTTTACATTTTTTGCGGTTCTTGTTATCTAAACCAAATTACGCCAAGAGTGGTCGTAATTGAGCAGATAGGCGGGATATAAATAGAATGAAATAAATAAACAGGACGTCTCCTGCCTTTCCTGGGTGCCTTCCCAACAGCCCTGTAAAGTAGTCCAGCCTGAGGGGGAGCCACAGAGGAAAGCTCTTTGATGAACATGTTCTCCGGTCATCTGTTATTGATTCCTCTCCCTGTTAACGCCAGGCTTGGGAACGTTTTACCTGTTGGATAGGGTGCTTCTTAGGCAGCTATCCACTGCCAGACCATGTTGGATAGCCTACCAGGAGGAAAGTTGGCTTGAGTTCGCGGGTTGAACCAAGAGCATTACAACGATCCATTTCCGTAGAAGTCGTGTTGATCAAAAGCACCCTATTTTGCTCATTATTTTAGATTGCAGATTGTGAGTTACCCCTTTTTGTGGCTTGGGGGCCTCCGATCGAGAAGGATCTGTGCCCCCCCACCTCTCTGCTCCTTTCCCCCAAAGAGACCCCCACCCACATTTCTCTCCGTTTCTCCAGGATTTGGAAGCGGGAAATAGAGGATTTTGACCAGAGGCCTTTGGGTCAGGGAGAGGAAAGATCCGGACCCATTTTGGAACCAGGGAGCTGGAAATTTATTTTGCTGGATTTATTTTGGGTTGTGGGGCTTGAGAACGGAGCGGTGGTCCTATAAAGGGGGGGGGGTTTAATTCATTGAGAAAGGAAGATGTGGGACAGGCACAAGAACTGGTTTTGGGGTGGAAAAGAAGGATTTTCAAATACACTGGAAAGAGGTTCCGATTTTTATGTCGGGGCAGAAATCAAATTTCGGGGCAGAAATGTCGGGGCAGAAATCAAATTTAAGGATTTGGATTAGAAGTAAGAAAGGATCTTTTTAAGGGTGTTGGTTTCGGGTCTTGGGACGAAAGGGTCTGGATTGAAATGAAAAAGGGATGTTTCTCAGGGTGGCTAAGACTTAAGCCTCCCTTCCTAAATTCAGCCTTATTGGGTCAGATGGCCCGGGCCGACCACGAGTGTCGTGAACAGACAGCAAATGCTTTGCTTTGTTGTGAAGTTGTTGTTATGGGATGTCAAGTTGCCCCCCGATTAACAAAAAACCCATGAAAGAAGGGTCTCCCAAATGTTCTGTCCTCAATGGCCTCACTCTTTTATGGAGTCAGTCCATCTAGTATTAGGCATTCCTCTTTTCCTGCTGCCTGACATCATTCCCCAGCCTTATTGCTGTTTCCGGAGAGGGCTACGTAGTAGAAATTTAGAAGCTGGGAAGCCTGATTTGATCTTCTGCCTCCGGCAGAAGAAGGCACTCTGGCTACTGTGTGAATATTTATTTATTTAGTTGAAATATTTTTCATCTTGCCTTTCTCCTTAAAAAAATGTGGCTTTACGACATCATTCAAAGACAATATTTAAAAGCTAAAAACAGGAAGGACACAAATATTAACACCAGCAGTGGGAAACTGCTCCACGGATTGAATGTCCATCTTTTGTGCCGCTGTTGCTAGCCATTGATTGATTGATTGATTGATTGAGGTGTGAAACTGCTCGACGGATTGAATGTCCATCTTTTGTGCTGCTGTTGCTAGTTATTTAATAGATAGCTTCATTTATTTAAAACGTTTTTCCTCCGTCTTCCTCCTTAAAAGGACCCAAGGAATTAAATACTGTAGATAAATTCATTTATTTGAAATGTTTTTACTCCGTCTTCCTCCTTAAAAGGACCCAAGGCGGCTTGTGTACAAGAAGCGATTTTTAAAATTATTTTTAAAATCATTAAACGAGGAAATGTTAAAATCATCATAGAAAAAGCAAGTTACGAATTTCCAAAGCGTTTAGAACCCCATGCAAAACAATTTTAAATTCCCACCCATCCACCCTGTAGAACTTGGAAAGGTCACTTTTTGGGATGGCAACTCCCCGAATCCTCAACCTGCGTGGCAGACTCAGGATGATGGGTCTTGTAGTCTCCGAAAATGGAGAATTCCCAGTTCTGGTTTTGCCAGACCTGCACAGGGCCGTTTTCCCCCTTTGCAATTCTTATTTCCACCCCCCTGCTTGTCTCCAGAGTCCTTGAAGTGATCTTAACCATATTAAGGGCTAGAGGAGGAGGAAGCGAGAGAGAGAGAGAGAGAGAGAGAGGGAGAGCGTGAGAGAGGTTTGGAATCAATAATTCACCCCTCTCCATTATAAATGAGCAGCTTCACCCCCATCGCCCTGATCATCCCCACCTATTCTTCCGGCTCCTACTCTTTCTCTCTGTCTTTCTCCAACCCACAAACCCGCACGGGCCATCCGGCCCACCTCCTTTTTGCTACGTTCCCGGAGAATCCGTTCCCGGTGGCCCCAATCTTCCTCTAGGTCCACCTGGCCCTATATCCTGAACTTGTGATCCTAAGGGTTGAGGCTACGGGAGGCCAGGTGGGAAGGAACTGGAGGAAATAGAACATTTCCAAAATCAAAGATACGGCTCCATCCTTTTTAACACAACACTCCCTCCGAGGTCTGGTCAGGGAAAAGTGGGAATTTGTGAGATGGTGTTGAAAAGAAGCACTTTGTGAATCGAGACTCTTTTTAGGAACATAGAACCACTTTCGCTTCTAAATCATTGAGTGTTCAGGTATATACAGGTTGCACTCTGTCTTCCCTCCTCAGTTTTTCGTCTGTAAAATGGGTACCACAGACCTCAGACGGTTCGCAAAAGCAGATCCGGTCCTCATTGCAAACAGCGTGGTGTGTTTGGGCAAAAAAAAACCCCCGACAACACAATAATATTGTTATTTCAAGTCATTTTAATCCCACCGATTGGCATGAGAACTCGTAGAATGGCTCAGAAACCAACGATTCTCTCATATCCGTGGTTTAGGTCTCTGGCTGCCGAGCCAGAGGTTGGGAGTTCGATTCCCCTCTGTGCCTCTTGACCAGAACTTGGCCTCGGTGATCCATAGCACCCTTTCCAGCTCTGCTGTTCTAAGAGGATGATGATGACAATTACATTACCTCGACTTTGTTATTGTCACGACAGCCCTGTAAGGTGGGGGAGGCTGAGGGAAAAAAAGACAGAAAGAGAGAGCAGGGAGACCTGGGCCAAGCCGCAAGATAAATTTTGTACAGTAGAACCCCTGTATCCATGGGATCGGTATCCAGTTTCACTTAAATGCAGTCTGAAAATATTAAAAAATATTTTTCAAAAACATAGAAATATGTATTTTGAGGTTGTATTTACAAACCTGGCCACTTGAGGGAGCCAGAGACCATGTTGTCTATGCTGTTAAGAATACGTGTACAGTATAAACAGTATATATAGAGTACAGTCTCTGGCACCCTCTAATGGCCAGCACTGGTAATACATGTGGAAATACTTTTGTCTTTTTTTTTTATTTTATCATGCTATGTATAGCCTTCACTATTTGCAGTTTTCAGTATCTGGGGGTCTTGGAAACCAATCCCCTGGGAATATACTGTAGAGTCCTATTATAATAACAAAAGACTACAAACAAAATCCGAACAATAAAAAGCCCACAGACTATGGGGTCCCCTCAATGCCATCTTCTCCATGTGCAGCCTGTTCAGTTTCTTCTGTGTTTCCCCTTCTTTCTTAATAGGTTCTCACTACCTGGCGGATTTATCTCTTGGGGCTTAAGGTGCCGGCCAAGGTACGTGAAGGGGTGACGGGAAGCCCGTTGGAGAGGCCCGTTCTAATTCCACCTCCCAGCCCTTAGTAGATAGATCAATAAATCTAATTTGACTCTTCCCCCCCCCGGACCTTTTTCTGTCATTTCCTTATCCCCGTACAGGTGGAATGCTCTTTCAACGTCTTGGAGATCCGAGCATTAAATGCCTTGAATCACAACCAGGTAAGAGGCTGTGCCTTTTGCCAGCGGGATGAGGCTTGTACATCATTCAATATATTTTAAAAAAATATGCCACAGAAAATCTATAACTTATTTTGTGGTTATTAGAATATCGCATGTGTCTCTCAGTCATATTATTTTCACTGCCTTGGGATTCCTCGTGAATGAATAGCCTTTTATATTGTTTAAAAATAAAATTAAGAAAGAGAAATATGGTATGACCCTTGTATCCGCGGGAATCAGTATTCACGGTTTCCATAGCCTGTGGTCTGAGGATTTTAAAAGAAAAAAAACCCAGAAATTCATATTTCTTCAATTTAATTAGAAGAACCAGCCATTGGAGGGAGCCAGAGACCGTTATATGCCAGGTTTATTATTATCTGTGGTCTATGGCATCCGCAGGGAGGCTTAAAGTCAATCCCCTGTGGATCAGGTGGTCCTATGCTACTTAAATTAAATGTGTGCGTGTTTGTGTGAATTCCTTCTTTTTTTGTTCAGATCCTGGTGGAAACAGAAAAAGCGACCTACAGCTTGAAATTCCCTACTTCAGAAAGTGCCGACCAGGTCACCAGACACGTCAACAGCGCCTTAGCCAAAATTTTTCCAAGCCCGGCCTCTGTGTGAGTAGGTGGAAATCTTAGGAATGCCGGATGAAAGGCAGCGGAGTTGCCAACTTTTCAGGCGTCCAACGTGGCTATGCCTTAACCCGCCTTTCACTTCTTCAAACAGGGTCTGTCCGGCAATGATAATCTTTGTGGACGAACTCTTAGGGTCGTTTGCAAAAGTTTGTTCTGAAAGGGGGGGGAGAGCAGGCTGAGCCCTTATTTGCTTGATCCTCGGTCAGCATCTTTGATATTTATTTAATCTATTTATTGGGGCAACAGGAAAGCATAGGAGTTAGAAGTTGGTCAGTTGGGGATGGTGATTGTTCTCAAGGCTTTAACAGTTCTAGAGGTCAGAAACATACATACATAAGTATGTGTATGTATGTTTTTGCAAGGCCAAGGAGCAGGCAGTTCAGGGACCAATAAAAATTATAACTAATGGTGGCTTTTCATGTTGACCCAGAAGCCACTGTAACTTGTAGCCATTAGCTGCTCAGATTTGCAGTGACTGGTTGTTCCAGCGAGTGTTAACTGCTGGGATTTTGGTCGATGTGTATTTGCGTGTTGTGTCTGTTGCAGTTTTTATATTATTGTGCACCATTTAAGAATATTTTTGTATCTAAGTGACTTATAAATCCAAATTACCATACCGTAGCATACCAGCCAAAATTCTATTGCTCAAAAGACGTAACTTTTAACAGCCAAGTGGAGTAAGTTAAGGAATTTCCGTAGACCGAGTGGAGTAAGTTAAGGAATTTCCGTAGACGTGATCAGTTATAAGCAACAGGATTTCAGCCAATAGAATAGAGTAGAATGTGTGTCTTACTCTATTGTATATTACTTTATGCATTATACATGCAAGATGTAATGTGTAAATGCAATATATAACGTACTAAGATAAACTGAGTGCCCCATCCTTCTTATCGACTGGTTTTCCTTGATGTTTACCTCCAGCTGCTTGATCCGCCATGGAAATGTGGAGACCCCTGAGACGCCACGGGACGTGTCCCCCAATTCCGAGAGTTCCACTTCCACCATCCACAGCATTTGCGGTGAGAAAGCAGGCGATCAAGGCCCAAAATTTATGAGATACCGACTTTTGAGAGATAAGTCAGGCGGGGTGGGGTGGGGCTTCCAGGCCGAGGTTTCTGGGTTTCCAGCACCTTCCTCGAGTCAGATGCGCTTCTCAGAGAGTGAAACCGTGCAATCGTCATTCCTAGGAAACTGTATGAAATTTTAATTACAGTTGCTGCATTATCCACTTAACCCACTGACCTGAATCTCGGAAGAGTTCTCAGACGAAAATACAAATTGCTTTGCTGGATCCTGCTGAAGGTCCACTGAAGATTGCGTTCTGTCTTCGAGGCTCACAACCCGATGGGCCTTGGGGGGGGGGTTACAAATAGGACTTCGCTGATCATATCTGCCTTCTCTGGCTTGCCCCGTGTACCTGGTTATCCAAGCCAGGCTGTCCGTAAACAGAAAACGAGAGGTGAAAATAAAATAAAAAATAAAATAAGACAAAAACACGGTGGCACCTAAAACATTTGTATTTTTTTCATGCAAGCTTTCTTGGACGAGTCCACTTCGTCAGGCATTCGTTTTTCTCCCACCGAGAAAAACGGTGATCTGAACTTATGATGTAGACTATGTTAACATTTTCTAGCATTCTTGATTCACCATCTTGAACCAGTTCAGGCTGTACTGGCAATTCAGAGTATTTGAACCAGCCATTTTTTTGTACAAGATTCTAAAAAGAGCTTTGAAAATTTTATTTTCGTACTCTACCACTTCCGAATGCAGGTGGAAGCTCACATAACTGGATTTTCCTCCACTAACGTATATATTCTAATATATCAGAGAGATGGATTCAAGTACAGTGGTGCCTCGCACAACGAACGCCCCGTAGAGCGATGAATTCGCTCTACGGGGACGTTTTTTCGATCGCTAATGCAATCGCAGAGCGACGGCCCCAATGGGCGAAAATCGCAGAGCGAAGGTCGTTAAGCGGTTCGCTTACCGACCTTTGCTTTGCGACCCGCCGATCAGCTGTTCCGCGGCTACAAAATGGCCGCCAGAAGCCCCAAAATGGCCGGAACGGATTAACCTCGCTGTGCGAGGCACCACTGTATAAACATCTCCCTGATACAGTGTGTTACTTTTCTAGATACAGTTCTATTTTTATGCAGTAACTTCTTATTTATACAACAGTCACGTGAACAGCGGTCCAGTCTAGACAGAGGCTATACACATTGCACAGGTAATTCCCCCTGCATCACAGGAAGGAAAATACTCTCATCTCCCTGATACAGTGTGTTACTTTTCTAGTTCTATTTTTATGCAGTAACTTCTTATTTATACAACAGTCACGTGAACAGCGGTCCAGTCTAGACAGAGGCTATACATATTGCACAGGTAATTCCCCCTGCATCACAGGAAGGAAAATACTCTCTAGGTCCCTTGAGTGGTCCTAACAATATTTCATCTTACAAATATTTATAATTAAAAAGTAAAAACAAAAAAATTGCCTTGTTGCTTAGGGTTGAATGGTCCCATAAAACCTTAAAAATGTCCTGTCGAAATCCTTCTGAAATACTTTTAAGATTTATTTAAAAGGATCTTTTTGAAAGTAACTAAAAATGTTGTTAGTTATACCGAAAGTAATATAATTACTTTTACATTACATTTGCTGTACTTTCAAAACTACTCATCTAAAATTACCTAACTAATATCTGATTACTTCCAAGCTCTGAGCAAAATGATTATGTATTTTGTTTGCCTCCCCTTAGGTGGGTTTTCTGAAACATACGCAGCTCTTTGTGACTATAATGGGCAGTCGTGCCGTGAAGAGGTGCAGTGGGTAAGTTCAGAGGACAGGAAGAGCGAGGGGTGGTTTACACCACCTAGAAAAAGTTATCCTTGCAATTACCTTTTCTCCCAAGTTTGCATGTGGTTTATAGAAAAATGATGGGTTAGTGGTTTCTGGGGGGTGGGGGGGTGGATGCTATAAAAAGTGTTGCAGAGTTTTGAATTTCTGGTGAAATTCCTGTTGCTGCCCATTAGAAGTACTCACAGAGGAGAATAGCTACCAGTTCCCTAGTTGGTCCACCCCTTTCTCATCAACCGGCCCTTAATGTCTCAGCAACTCACTTTGAGACATGTATAAGTGAAAAAATGAAGACATTTGTAGGAGAAAGAATAAAAATGTTTGATTACTGACAGTTGCAGACAAATCAACAGCAAACAAACAACTGACTCCCAATAGACTAAAGAGAGGAAAAGAGATCACACAGCAGAAAGGGGTGGGGAGTTCTCTTTGAATTCAAAAGCAGGAGATCTGATTTTAGATGGACCTCCCCGATATGTGAAGGATGTCTTTATTTTTAAAATGCTTCCAGCTAAGATTTCTTCTTTCTCTTTCTCCTCCAGGACGTGGACACGATTTACCATTCGGAAGACAATCGGGAATTCAACCTGCTTGATTTTTGTCACCTGGAAAGCAGGTGAGATAAAGGGAGCCGACGTGGCCGGACGTTCGCCATTGATAACCCTAGTAGCTCCATCCGTCTCCAGACTTCCGTGGTGACCTCAAGCGAGCCTCATACTCCGTCCTTCCGTCTGAAACGGGCGAGGGGGGGGACTGATAAAGCTGGCCCACCTTAACAGAATAGTAGTGGGAATCCTGTTCACCCGTGTGAAATATTCTGCAGAGCAATAGAGAGGCCGGATAGTATTTTTCTCTGGAACCCCTTGCGGGCCAGAGAAAGCCCAGGGTGGATTTTGATTTCAATCAAATTCACAATTTAAATCATGATTTAATTTTTTAAAAAAATCAGAGTGTTTGGGATTGCTTAACTTTCTTTTAATCAATTGAAAAAAATTTAAATCGTGATTTAAATTATAAGTGTGTTTGGGATTGCTTAACTTTAAAAGAATCCATTGAAAAAATTTAAATCGTGATTTAAATTATAAAAAAATGGTGGGTTTTTTTGGACAATTTAACTTTAAAATCCCCTTTTTAAAACTTAAATCATGGTTTAAATTTTAAAAATCGGATTTTTGGGGGACAATTTAACTTTTTAAAAACCATGTTTTTACATTCAAATCATGATTCAAATTTTAAATATCAGGTGGTTTTTTTGGGCAACTGAACTTTAAAAACATCCATTTTAAAAAATTTAAATCGTGGTTTAAATTGTGATTTAAATCAATTTGACTTTTTGAAAAAAAAAACTTGATTTTTTTTAATCCACTCTGAGGAAGCCCCCTTAATGGCTTCCCTATTTCCTGTTCAAGCTTTGCTGAAATTTTGACACACACACGCCCCGGTGTTGCTGGACTACAACTCCCATCAACCACACTGGCTGGGGATGATAGAAGTTGTATCCAACCCCTGTGGAGGGCTCCACCTGGAAACCCTCAGCCTCTTATTTCTTCTCCCTAGTTCTTCATGGTTTCAAACTGGCCCCATCTTCTTTCCCACTCATCCCCTTTTTTACCCTGGTTTCCAGGATAAATCGTTAAAAATTGTGCATCGTGATGGAGGATGTTGTATGCATGGATTATTGTAATTTTTTTCCCTTCTAATCCCCGCTTTTCCCCCTCTTTTCTGCCAGGGACTTAGCTCTGATCGTGGCCGCTTTGGCTTATAATCAGTGGTTCACCAAACTCTATTGCAAAGACTTGCGACTGGTAGGTTTCCTGGATTCTTCCTATGCATTTTCTCGCCGGGTGTGACCTGGGCCACGTGTCCTTCTTATCCAATGGCCGAGCCGGCGCCTCCTCCGGCTGCAGGACCTCGAAACCTCAGACCATGGTTTTGCTGGTGTCGGAGAGCTGCACTTTCATCTTTATATCGCACGGCCTTGGTCGTCAACCGAGAGTTCCCTGCCTTTTCTCCCAATCCCCTTCCATCGTTTCGATGTTGTGCTTTAAACAGAGAAGAAGAGTGTGAGAAAAGGGGAAAGAGAAAATATAGAGAACGAGGAGATGAAATGGTGGGCTAGAAGGGTGAAAAGGGGTGGGAATCAAGTGTTATTTACTTATTTAAAATATTTTTATCCTGCCTTTCTGCTAAAAAAAAAAAAACACCAAAGTGGATTACATCAAAACACAATACAGTAGGATCCCCATATCTGTGGGGTATGGGTTCCAAGGCCCACTGTGGATGCTTAAAAACACAGATGATAGCAAACGCTATTTTAATAGAGAACACTATACATCACACAATCTCTTGCTCCCCCTAGTGTCCAGTTCTGATAATGACCTAGTGGAAATATATTTCCATAGCAAACTCTCTATGTAGCATGGTCTCTGGCTTCCTCCTGCAGTGCTAGAGGAGGCTCTTGAGAGTCCCCTGGACTGCAAGGAGAACAGACCTATCCATTTTGAAGGAAATCAACCCTGAGTGCTCCCTGGAAGGACAGATCCTGAAGCTGAGGCTCCAATCCTTTGGCCATCTCATGAGAAGAGAAGAGTCCCTGGAAAAGCCCCTGATGTTGGGAAGGTGTGAAGGCAAGAGGAGAAGGGGATGACAGAGGACGAGATGGCTGGACAGTGTCTGCGAAGCAACCAACATGAATTTGACAGAACTCCGGGAGGCAGTGGAAGATAGGAGGGCCTGGCGTGCTCTGGTCCGTGGAGTCACGAAGAGTCAGACATGACTAAATGACTAAACAACAAACAACAGCTGGCTTCCTCTAGTGGCCAGTACTAGTAACTTCAACTTTAGAAATATATATTTCTAGGATTTTCCTTTTAATATATTTAGACCGTGGATAAGCGAATCAGTGGATACTGATCCCACATATAAGAGGGTCCTACTGTCTTGAATACTAAAAGCAGTAAATTATTCAAATATGAAAAAAAAACAATAGACAACATTATATTAAAAAGGTCAGGTAAAAGCATATCTAAAACAGATTAAGAAGCAGCAAAATATAAACCGTCCCATTTTAAAATCTCTCATAGACAGTCACAGGAAAATGCTGACGAGAAAGGCATTTGCCTGCTTACGGAAGGCCACACTAGTTGGTTACAGCAAAATGAACACACACTCTTGTGAGGTTTTTGACTAAAACATTTAATTTGCTCTTAGCTCTTGTAGAATGCAGGCCAGTTCATCAGACCTAACTTTAAGAGTTGCAAAGAACTGAGGATTTCTTTCAGATGCTCCGTCTTTTTCAGATCTTGCTTCTCTGTCTGCAGAAGCCCACATTTTTTTCCCAGGGGTCTGAGTTGACCCCAATTTTGGAGGTGCTGTGAATCCATCCCAGGTTTTAGTGTGCAGTTTACAGGAGCTTTCTGAAAACATTAGATTGAACGTGAACCATTTCTGGAGGCAAAAAATGTCGAAGCTGAGGCTCTCCTACTTTGGGCGCATCGTGAGAAAACAGGATTGTCTGGGAAAGACCATAAAGCTAGGAAAAGTGGAAGGCAGCAGGAAAAGAGGAAGACCCAATACAAGATGGACAGACTCCCTAAACGAAGCCCCAGGCTTGAGTTTGTAAGAGCAGATCAGGCCCGTTGAGGACGTTTTGGCAATCTCTTACTCACAGAGCCGCCGTATGTTGGAGGCAACGTGTTGGTGTACATATAACAACACCTCCAAAATTAGTATCTTAGGAGACTCTTGTAAACTTCGGACTGAAACCCAGAGTGGATTCACGGCACCTCTGAAATTGAGTTCAACGCTGATCCGCTGGCGTTTTCCTTCTGGCACAACTGTGAAAACTGAAGGACATTGTTTAGGATCCAACTAAGTGCGGGAACTGCTACACACAGGGGAAGTCTGCATCGGATCGGTCTTATGCCTCCCTCCTCCTTCTCTTCTCAGGGCTCCGAGGTAGCCGAGCAGGTTCTGCATACGGCGAGCAAGTCCCATCACCTGGAGGAGTTGGTGCTGGACAATGCAGGGTTAAAAACGTGAGGCTTGTCTAGACTTGGAAATGCATGTTTATGTCTTATCCTCCGTGTGAGATCTGGGCAGTAAAATGGAGCAGCGTTCCTTTCCTCGGCCACTTTGGACAATAATCTAAATGGTGGTTACTCTAAAGTGGAGGGAGAAGTATGAAAGATTTCCCTTGCAGCTGGTCAGGGACCCAGAGTGTGTGTATCTTAGGTCCGTGATATTTAAACACATATATTGTTAAACCATGATGTGATTTGTCGAATTCTAGCTTGCTGAATCTCTGTTAACAAGCTGTGGTTTGTTAACCAGCCATCAAACCACTGTCTGAATCTTATGTTTTGTTGCTGGGTTAAACCATTTTTACTTATTTATTAGATTTCTATCCCACCCGTCTAGACCAAGGGTCTACTCTGGGTGGTTAAACCATGGTTTGCTATCGACTCATAACTGTGGCTTGTTGGAGGTTTGTTTCCAACCTGCCAACTCTGAACAACTTTGCCAGAGAAGGGCAATATATTTTTTTCTCCCATCGCCTGCTATTTTACTGACAGAAAGGATAGGAGAGAAATTAAGCAGAAATGGAGAAGATAAACTTCGTTTAATTGTCCACCATGCGATTCTTGGCTTAAACAACAAACTGTAGTTAACCGAAACCGTGGTTTATTGTGATGTGTGAATTACACTGTATAGCTGCTTATAGAGAAGGGCAGATTACAGATAAACAAAGACTTGATTTATTAAGAGATGACTTTTGATGTAATCATAACAGCTAAATGTTATGATGTGATGTTATTACTAACATCAAAGCTGTTAGTAATCATAACAGCTAAATGGTTGTTGTAGTTTTTGGGGGCTGTTTGGCCATGTTCTGGAGGTTTTTCTTCCCCTACAGTTTTCTCCAGTCTCTGTGGCCGGCATCTTCAGAGGACAGGAGTTAGAACTCTGTCTGTGTCCAGGTGTAGTGTGTGGGATGGTACACTGAAAGCAACTATCCCACACACTACACCAGAACACACACAGAGTTCTAACTCCTGTTCTCTGACGATGCCAGCCACAGAGACTGGTGAAACATTAGAAAGAAAAACCTCTGGAAAACGGCCAAACAGCCCAAAAAACCTACAACAACCATTGCCTCCCTGCCGTGAAAGCCTTCAAGGATACGGTTTTTCAATAGTTCTATAGTACTTTTAAATAATTATTAAGTATCTGTAGCATTTTAGTTGAAGTCTTATTATCAAATTATTAAATTGTGTTAGAGTACTTGTATTTTCCATTCTCTGATCTGACAATGAGAGTCACATAACTGTTGTCCTGCCTGGCCCCTTTGTGTATTGAGGCAACTCAACACATCACAACCACAGGCTTCATCATAATTGGTGCCACAACATTTTTTGGAACATTACACTCTAGACTGAATTGTGTAAATTTGAAAATGTAAACATAGATGATGTTAGATTTCCTGCTGTCTAATGTATGAAGACTGAAGCCAAATAGTATCAGATATGCTTGTCCCTTCATGGAAAATTACTGAAATGAGCACTATAATATTAAAATGTGGCCGTAAAGTAGGTCTTTGTTTTGTTTTATAATATATATAGGGCACCACTTGGACAGATACTAATAAGAAGAAAGAATAAAACACAACTGGGAAGTAGTGCATTATGACTCAGGGCACTAATTACATTTTTGGATAATGCTGGTTAATATTTCTTGGGTCTTATTTTCAGGATCCAAGGGTATATTGGAGATAAGGATGTATGGAATGAGTTGGACTGCAGATATATGGACTTGTGGTATGGACTGTAGAATTGTGGAATAGAATGTCCTACCTATCAAATGGGATGGAAGAATCTTTGGTTTTGTTTGTAAATGCCATGATTGACTGCTCGCTGTTAGGAAAGAGAGCAGAAGGGTTTTTTTAGGTCTAGATTTTTAAATTTTGAATGGATAAAAGAACAGAAACATGGCTGCTGTGTTGACAAGGCCTTGGCCAAGCTAAAACTCATTGGAATAGTATGGGCAAGATTTGAAGTTGGGTACTTTCAATTTGCCCAGAATATACCCAGATGGCTGTAATCATGCCATTTGCCTCAGGACAAAGGGATGCGGGACCCACCCCCCCTTTCCGCAGCTTATCCTCCGAGAGAGCGCAGGGAGAGACCCTGTGCATCCTTCAGAGAGAATATTTATCCCTCAATCCCTAAACAGAACAGGTCATTTCATTCATTACTTGTAATCCCCTTGTGAACTCAACGGGGGAACGGAGAAACGGAATGCAAGAAAACGCAGAGTCTCTTGCAAATCTGCCTGGAGAGTAAACAGGTTGTCGAAACAGGAACCTTAATTTACTCCCTTCACTTCAAAGACCCTTTGAAAGTCTAGGGAGAAGAGAAATGCCTTCCGCTGAATTAGCTTTTCAATGTCTTACTTTGTGCATCCGTTTGTTCCAGAGGAATTACAGTCTCTTTCATATCTGAGAACCCCAAATACTCTCCGAGAACAGTCAGAGTTGGCAGAGATGTACAGTAAAAAAAAAAATTATATTCTGAATTAACAAACTTTGTACGGCCATTTCCCAGACGCACTGCCTTCTTCCTCTCGTCTTCATGTGATTGACGGGTGTTTTTAACGGATGCTGTGCTGGTTGCCTTTTGATTTATTCTCATGGTGTGTTATTGTGCCCAAGTGAAAACGTATGCCTCAGAAACAGAGGTCTGCAGATTTATGTTATTGCACGAAAACTGACATATTGCCCAGAATGGTAGAGGGTGCAATCCGAAAATAGAGATACACATCCTTGACTTGGAAACATTTCAGTTTGGAGGAGGAAAAAGCAGAGTATTGGGGATGGGAAACACACAAACCAGGAAAGCGTTCTTACCCTCAAATTCTCTTCATTTTCGAGAAAACTCTTCCTGTCTTATCTCTGCCTGGTACTCAAGGCTAACTTAGCTTAGATGCTTGCTAGGAATTATTTGCCGTACATGAGCTAAGCATCCATGGGGGATTGGTTCCAAGCCCCCTGTGAATGCTGAAAACGCGGATAATAGCAAACACTATATTTAGCATGGTAAAGGAAGGGGGGAAGAAAAAAGCATTTCTACAATGAATTTACCAGAACTGGCCACTAGAGGGAGTAAGAAACGGTGCTATACAGTATTTTATTCAACAACAAGAATACATAGTATGGTCTCTGGTTCCCTCTAGTGGCCAGTTCTGGTAAATACACAGTGGAAAATATTTCTAGTTTTTTTCTTTTAATATTTTCAAACCACAGATAAGGGAAACCATGGATACTGATCCCGCAGATATAGGGATCCCGCTGTAAACCACACATCCACAAAGGGGATGTTCCCCTATGTGGGGCTGTATCACTTTTCCCCCCTTCTCTCTCTGGCTCCCTCTCCGCAGGGATTTTGCCCTGAAACTCGCCTGCGTTTTGTCGGAAAACCCGAACACAGCGCTCCATGCCCTCACGCTCTCGCACAACCCGCTGGAGGACAAAGGTGAGAGATGGCTCGGCCCGGCCAATCTGGAAACCTGGGAATGGCTTTTAGTAACGAAGCCCGGGAAGCGTCTCTCGGCCCTTCGCTTTTCTCTTCACGTCGCTTTTTTGCTTCCTCGGCAGGTCTCAGCGCTTTGAGCCAACAGCTGCTGTGTTTCCCTAAAGGTCTCAGCAAACTTTGCCTTTCCAAGACCAGCATCACTGCAAAAGGTATCAATCACAAACTTAAGTGAGAATAGCTTCAACCTTCCCCCAGAGTAGTCCACCCCTTTTCTTATGGGGGCGGACTACTCTGGCACTTCCCATATTTTTCTGTCTATAAGACTATACCTTTGTCTAAAATCTTTAGACTAAAAATTGAGGCTCGTCCTATACAAGGAAGTAAGCTGAGGAGAGAACAAAAACAAGTGAAGGGGAAAGCAGGGATCGAAGCGATCCTGCAGGGCTTTGATCCCTTCCCCCCTACACTTGCTAAGCCCCACTTAGAGTTCTTAATTTTGGATTAGAAAAGTGGGGGGTATCTTATACATGGGGGCATCTTATACACGGAAAAATACAGTACCGTCTCAGTCACTCACTCGGAATCATTAGTAGGAGAAAGAATAAAAGGTTTCAATTCTTGCAGATCAATAGCAGGTGGACAAATTGCCTTCAGCGACAGACCTCGGCAGACTCTAGAGAGGGGGAAAAGAACAGAACAGAGGGGCGGGGCTCTTTCTGAATTCACAGACAGGGAAGGAACGATTGGTTAGCACAGGATAGATCGACAGTCACCCCAGCCTGGAAAGGTCCCTCCCAGCCAAACCTACTAAAGGCAGCATGCGAGGTTGCAAAAAAAAGACTCACACTTCGCAGATTGTGAACCATGGCCAATACTGTTTTAATCTTCTGGCTTTGGATACAGGAAAAATGCTAGACTGAGTGTGGTCCTCAAGTGCCCTTTGCTCACCAGAAGCTTGTTTTTTTTTTTCAAATTAAATTAAGTTAAATTAAATTAATTCATAATTTAATTACATTAATTCAAATTTTAATTTGATTTAATTCAAAGTTCCTTCTCTGCTGCAGTTCAGCTGGCATGCACCCATTGCTTCACAAGGTCTGCAGATTAAAATTTCTGTTTATTTATTTGTTTCCATCTCATGAAAGCTTATGACGAAGACTTTCTCAGTGCTTAAGAGTATTGGAGCTATGGGTGCACATCAGCTTAACTGCACAAAATATATAATATAATATAGTATAAAATGTTTTATTACGGATCTGGGCTGGAATATGTTTCTTCATCGTTTCCCTCGTTTATCACAAACATATGCCGAGTTTGCTGTTGTTTTCCTTTTTGGGCAACAACTCTGAGAATTCTCCATCCGGCACAGCCTGGAGTTGTATTTTTCTGGGAACTGGACTCTGAATTATTCCCAAAGATTGTGAGAATATACCATATTTTTGTTTTAATGCTTGTGATTTTGTATCCGGGCCCATTGAAAACGGCAAGGCGGCTTAGGGCTGGAGGAATACAACATCGAATAGTTCATCAATAGCTTTTTAAAGGCAAGATTGTTTTCCATGTTTACTTGTTTTTAATTATGCCGTTGTATTTTAATTAGCTACAGTTTAATTGCTTTTTTTTAAAGGTTTAACTTACTGTCTTTTTGGATTCTATTCTTTTCCTATTATGAGTCATCTTGGGTCCCCTTATCAGGAGAAAGGTGTTCTATCAATAAAAGAAGCCAATGAATGAATTAATAATTTGTTGTCATAAATGGCTCTTATAAGAACTGCATCACATTTTGGTGCTTGTCATTTCTCTGGTGACTTTGGTGCAGGAGGGAGGAAAGTACCGTATTTTTCCGTGTATAAGACTATACTTTTGTCTAAAATCTTTAGATTAAAAAATGAGGCTCGTCTTATACACGGAAGTAAGCTGAGGAGAGAACCAAAACAAGTGGAGGGGAAAGCAGGGATCAAAGCAATCCTGCAGCGCTTTGATCCCTTTCCCCCTACACTTGCTAAGCCCCACTTAGATTTCTTAATTT